CAATTCTTTCCATCAGTTTTCATTGCAGAGAAGGTGAGGGAGATACCAACATCAGATCCATTCTTTTTGGGTAGCAAATCTGAAGTACTGTCCAAAATTGATGTGGCAATAGAAGAGGTTTTAGAACAAAATTGAACAACAGTAAAAAGTCACCAGGACCAGATGGTATCACCCAAGAGTTCTGAAGGAACTCAAATATGAAAATGCAGAACTGCTAACTGTGTTATGGAAATTACCATAACCATGAAATCAGCCTCTGTACCAGGTGACTGGAAGGTAACTAATGTGATGCCGATTTTTAAAAAGGACTTCAGAGGCGATCCTGGCAATTACAGGCTGGTAAGCCTAACTTCAGTACAGGGCAAAATTTATAGAAACTAGAGTAAAGAACAGAATTATCAGATACAGATAAACCTGATTTGTTGGGGAAAGAGTCTTTTGCAAAGGGAAATCATGCCACATCAATCTATTAGAATTCTCTGAGGGGATCAAAAACATGTGGATAAGGGTGATCCAGTCAATTTATTGTGTACTTGGATTTCGAGAAAGCCTTTGAGTAGGTCCTTCACCAAAAGGCACTTAAGGAAACTAAGAAGCCATGGGATAAGAGGGAAGGTCCTCTCGTGGATCAGAAGCTGGTTGAAAGACAGGAAACTAAGGCTTGGAATAAATTATCAGTTTTCACAATGGAGAGAGGTGAACAGCGGGGTCTCCCAGGAATCTGTACTGGCACTGGTGCTGTTCAATTTATTCATTAATGATCTGGAAAAGGAGGTGAACAATGAAGCAGCGAAGTTGGCAGACAATACAAAATTATTCAAGATAGTTAAGTCCCAAGCAGACTGCGAGGAGTTACAGAGAGAATCTTACAACTGGGCAACAAAATGGCAGATGAAATTCAATGTAGATAATGCACATTATTTTTTTCAATCTCAACTATGCATATAAAATGATGGGGTCTAAATTAGTGGTTACCACTCAAGAAAGATCTAGGAGACACTGGATAGCTCTCTGAAAACTTCCACATAGTGTACAGCAGCCGTTAAAAAGACTAACCGTATATTAGGAACTATTAGGAAAGGGATTGATAATAAGACAGAAAATATCATAATGCCATTATATAAACCCCTGATGCGCTCACACCTTGAATACTGTGTCCAGTTCTATTTGTTCCATCTCAAAGGATATAGTAGAACTGGAAAAGGTTCAGAGAAGGGCAAGAAAGATGATCAAGGCTCCCATAGGAGATTAAAAAGATCAGGACTGTTCAGCTTAGAAAAGAGACGACTATAGTTTCCCTTCCCCTGCCCTCTAGTGCTGAGGGGACAGACATGCATAGCAGAAATCCACCACCACAGCTGGCACCAGGGCGTTGGCAGCCTCAGCAGAACAATCAAGGCTTGAATGTCTCAGACAGAACTCCTACTCCACCCCAGGAGCGGACCTGAAGGTCAACGGAGAGGCACCTTATTGAGGGAAGTTCACATGGCCCTAGCCCGTACTATCCCTGTCCTAGGGAAAGACAGAGGACCCCCGGCCGCAGGGCTGCCAGTCAGACACCAACATTCCATGTGGTCACAGCCCCATACCCGGCTTCTTGTTTGCATTGGTCAGATTGTTTTTAAATTAAAGAAGGAGCAGTCAGTTTAGCGAGACAGTCCCGAGTAACGGCAGTACCCAGGCTCTAAGAGGAAAGGTTGTGACCATTCTATGCCATGAAGGATCAGAACATGCCTATGGTGTCAGAGGTCTGGAGCCTCCGGATATCAGCATCACAAGTTTTGCATCAGATTTTAAGTTACATCCTGCCCCTATTTCTGTCACATCAGTGGTTCCAGCTGACCTGGAAAACTCATTGCACTGCTGCTTCGGTAGCTGCCATACAAACTGGGTCACGATAAAGGACAGAGCGCAGCAACCCACTGCTTTCCATGGCGGCCCTGAGATGACACCATTTCATAGCAGCTTTGGGCCACAGGAGAAGAAGCCCTTCCAAGTAACCCAGCCGCTCCAGCAACAGGAAAATCAGATTTTATTCCTCTTGGCTAACTAAATCCTGTGCAAACTTTCAGGATTTATGGTATTTTAAAGGTTTTCCCTTCAGCACAATATAATATGTGGCATTTCTAGAAGACTAAACATCGTCATTAATTATGAGCGAGACTGGATTATGGCTGCAACTCAGCATTTCTTGGTAACTGCCAAGAAGGTGCATGTTTCTCTTGGCAACCCCGGACACAGATGAGGGGCTTGCACTGGACACAAACATCGATGGATCAGACGGCAGAGGAGGCAAACTGCCTAATTTCAACAGCCACCATCATTCACACTATTTTTAATAGCTCAGCTAGACGGGGTCCACCCTTTCTGGGAGACTCGGCTGGAACCCGCCGAGCCCAGCCTTTGCTAACGTGCCATTATACAACCAGACAGGAGCTCACAGAGAATAAATAGGAGGTGCTCTGGAGTAGCATGGGGTTGCACGCCAGCAAGGAGAGATTCGGTGCTTTGCAGCAGTGTTGGGCGTACACCTGGAGCAGTGGGAGGTAAAGATGCGGTTCAAAAGGTGAACATTTGCCATTCTAGCTTGTGTTAGCTGCTCCACTTCCCCACGACAGGCACTGTGCATATAGCCACCCTAGGGGAGAGAAGAGAGGGGCTGTGTACAAGCCAGGTGTATGTAAGGTGCTTTGATTGGCACCCGAGCAATGTGTGGTAAGAGGCAGTCAGGGCTTAAAACGCAACAGCGGCGCAGCTGTAGTGCAGCGTAGACACGGCGACAGGATGCATTCTGCCGTCAGCGTAGATTAATCCACCTCCCCAAGAGGTGTCTACATCAAGGGTCAGGTCAGTATAGCATCGTCCCTCGGGGGGTGGATCTTTCCCACCCCCCAGAGACGTAGCTATAGTGATGTAAATTCGGAGTGTCACTGAAAATCTTATTCCCTGTGTGCCCTTCATCCTGGGAGACCCCCACCTCCCTCGCTGCTGAGCATAGCCACCTCAGTGTTGGAACATAGCACGGCTGCGGAGGAGAGGCAGACTAGTGCAACCAATGGAAAGAAGTCAGGCCAGGACCCCGGAGCTAACACCTCCGACGTGCAGGAAGGATGCTGTGGGAGGGATGATAGCCCCGGATGGTCAGAGTTAAGGCTCTTCCAGCAGCAGGGAATCCCCTAGCACCATGCTGGTGCACCGGTTCAATAGCCAAGATGGAATAGCACCACCTCCTGAATCAGACACACCATTTCCTGCAGCAGCCTGGGTTTTCTGTCGGTGTCACCCATCCAAATTCTGATCTGCCCTCAGATCACTCAGCCCCAAAGGGAGGGAAGGTCCCGCACCCCCCAACAGCCAGCCTTCTGGCTCGTTCCAGGGAGAAGACTGCAGGCTTGTGCGTGAGCAGCATCTCCACCGCGTCCCACGGAAGGGTCTGAGCAGCCGGAGCAATTTGTTGAGACTGGCCGAAGGATGGGGCAAGGGCGACCGGTGCAGAACTGAGACGCAGGCCAGCCCATGCTGCCTTGTCCCAGCTAGCTGACACCCGGGCGCCCCAGGCTCGCCTCTACTCAGCCCCTTGTGCGCGGGCTACTGGCAAGCACTTGGAATAGCCAGTGGCCCTTTAACCACAAAGGCCAGGTGGCATGGCTCTCCAACTCTGCAGTGAGAGGCTGCATTTCGCTGCACTCTGGCCAATAATGCATCGTTAATCCCTATTCCCACATGGGGGGGGGGGGTATGGGAGAGGGAGTTCTGCCCACTGCCAGCACCTAGACAGATGGACAGACACCCAGCAGAGCAGACTGTCAGCTCCTGGCACACAGGCCTCTAGTGCTGGTGCTGAAGAGGACTATCCACTGGCTACGAGCGGTATTAGTGCAGCGAGTTCTCGACAGGCCACAGCCACGAGGCTGGTGGAAGGACCTAATTGGCACAACCCACCATCCGTCTGATGTCATGCGTGACTGGGGAGACCACATCAGCCGGTGTCTTACACACACACCAAAAAGCGAGGCCTAACATACAATGGTAGAGCTGTAGCATGAGCAGTTGGAGGGTGTGGACGCTGGAAGTCTTGGAAGGAAACACAGGCTGGGCACACAGGGGAAGCCACTACTTCTTTCCCCTCCTCAATGCTTCCTATAACTCAAGCCATCCCAGAGGGGAGAAGGACCTCAGCTTCCCAGAAGCCACAGGAAACCTTTAATGGGGGGGTGTTTAATCTCCATGCTGAATGCAGCTCCGACCCCACTATTTATTTTCTAATCACTGCATTTGCTGAGTCGGTCTGAGCTGGTCAGTCAGAACTCAATGGCGCTGAAGCTATTTCGTTCAGCTGCTGGAAAAACCTGGAGGCAAACAACCTATGTGGGAGCCACCTCCCTCCCCGCTGGAGCTGGGACTGCTGACAGACCCTGACCAGTCACTTTGAATTCACAGAATACCAGGATCAGGATGAAAGGGGACTGCAGATTGGAAGCAGGTGTCCCGCACTGAAGTCTTCATGGCCTAAAAGCTTCCCCATGCTCTGTGCAGAGAGCCTCAGGGAAGCCAAGAAAGGACCCTATGCCAGAGGATGAGGTGGCAACAGGCAGGACTTCACCAGGCAAAAGACAGCCAGAGCCTGTGGCAGCCATTCCAGGCATCCAAGATTCAGTGGTTTGGGTGTATGAACACCCAGAGGTTGGTACAGTTCTTCATCCCATGCTGAACAGTCTCCGTGGAGCTGCCCGGAGCACACCCCACCGCAAGGAGCTCAGTCTGTAACGATATCCTTCCAAACCCTGGTACCTCTCCCAAATATCAGACCCCTGCAACAAAGATCCCGTACAGACAGGCTCTGGACTATCTGCGCTTGTAGCACTTGGGTCGATTCAGTTCCTTCTACTGGGCCCATCACCGTGGTATCTGACCACCAATCTCTAATTCGCTTTGCTCCTCCCAGGTTGTCCGTTCGTTCTCCCCCACCCTGCTGGCAGACCAAGGAAAGAAGGAAGTACCTGGGCTGCAGCTGGCTTGGTCCTTGGGTCAAAGATCCGCAGCTTCTTATCCTGTAGAGATACAAGGAGAATAGTCGGAGGTGAGCGCCATGGAGAACGCAGGACAGTTAACGCACATTGGGCTGAATGCATGGGGGACCACCAGCCACAGAACAGCACTAGCCCATGACCTCCACCCTCCTTGGGGCTGCTGGCTCCTGTTCCCCTATGGCTCGCCCCATCCCTTCCCAAAAAGCCCCCTAGAGGGGAACCCCCAATGCAGTCTGCTTTAAGTGAACAGTGTGTGTGTGGGGAAGGGGGGCATGTGGGGAGCCAGACTTTGCCCAGGGAGCCAGTCTCAGCGGGGCCTGCAGAGAGTGCAGGCCCTGGTACCCGGGGGACCAGCCAGCACTGCTGCCCTGGGGCACCTAGGGACCACTCACACCTGGAGGAGGAGGGGACTCTAAAACAAGGGTCACTTAGAGACCCGCAAATGCCTGGTCGTTGGGCCCAAGGTGGAGGTGAAGGCCAGGGGCACACCCCCAGCCCAGTGACTGTCCCACACACCGTGCTTGGAAAGTGGAGGAACCATGTCACACTAAAAAGCAACAGAGGGTCCTGTGGTACCTTTGAGACTAACAGAAGTATTGGGGGCATAAGCTTTCGTGGGTAAGAACCTCACTGCTTCAAATGCAAGTCCTGCCTTGCATCTGAAGCAGTGAGGTTCTTACCCACGAAAGCTTATGCTCCCAATACTTCTGTTAGTCTCAAAGGTGCCACAGGACCCTCTGTTGCTTTTTACAGATTCAGACTAACACGGCTACCCCTCTGATACATGTCACACTAAGAGGCAGCTTGATTAATTATTCTCATGCATCCTGCTGCCTCCCAATCAGCCCCACTAAGGGAGTCTCCAAGGTGTCACTGCAGCTCATAGACACACCAGAGCTAGCTGTCATCTAGCCAGGCCAGCTACCAGAGCCACAAAGCCACCTGCCGCGTGTGGTCCGCACACCCCTGGGGATTCGCTCACGGGGTTAGGCTAAGCTGCTGCAGCTTCCCTGCTCCGGTACCTGAGCTGGCTGGGTTAAAGCTAGCTTGGGGACATCGACCCGAGCTGCGATCATGCCCCAGGACTGCAGTGCAGATGGGCTCCAAGTCCCTGAGGTCTATATATCTGCCTTGTTAAAAAAGTCACTTCACTGTCCATGAGGGAAGGAAAAGGAACCCCATCGGCCTAGGAAATGCTGTCGGGGACTGGGATGGGCAGAGATCAAAGTGCATTTACAGGTGAAATAAAGTGACTGAGAAACAACCCTTTGTATGCCACTCCTCTGCTCTGCCACATGCAGCGAGCCCTGCAGCTCTGGTTAGGGGAGAGGACGCTGAATTTATCTGGCTGGCGTGAGAGCAAAGTCTGCGCTGGCAGCAGAACTCCCAGCAGGGTGTGCAGACCCCAGGGGCACTGAAAGGGCTGGTGCTTGGAAAGCTGCTGTCTGTGCTCACCCCCGAGCACGCTGGCTCTGGGGGGGACAGAGTTCCCCCCATGCCAGGGTGACCGGCTCTCCCATGGAGCCAGCATGGTGCTCACCCCAACCTGATCCCCCTTCACGGGCATGCAGGCTTGGGGCTTTGACCAGTTTGGGGCCTACCTATTCCCTCCTCCCCCATCAGATGGAAACCCATCCCCTCACTCACAGGGTCGAGGCCGGCACTTGAGCCATCAGGAGCCCATAGGTCAGGGTGGGGGGGAGGAGAGCTGAACAAGGGGAAAGCCACACCTGCCCCCAAAGATGCTAAGGAAGGAATTGCAGGCTCCCTCGCCTCCAGCTCTTGAGAGCCTGGCTGGGGAGCTCCCTGTGGCAGCAGCTCAGAGGGCCGGAAGGAGGACAGAGGAGGCTGCAGCCTCTGCAGAGGAAGGATGTGCCTTTGGCCTGGCTGTTAGTACAATGACCAAGCCCTTGGTCTGAGCGTTACCCTGGAGAGCCCTGCCATATGCATGGGGAGTGTGGCGACAGCAGTCGGCAGACTCGGCCTGACACCCCCCATGTCCCTAGAGCTCTGGGCTGTGTGTGTTAGGGAGTGTTCCCATGCACAATCCATGGGATCCAGTCACAGTGGCCGCAATTGGCTTCACCACCCCAGTAACACCCCCAGGCACTGACCGCCCTGCAAACTCCTCTTACAGGCCAGCGCCCCAGGGATCAAGCCCCTTATCAACATTGCACTGACAACAGTCCAGGATGATCAAGGACACTGGTGCAGACAAGGACAGTGGCAGTGATTCCTTGCTCCATCTCCGCCCTAGAAACCCTGCGTCCCTGGGCTGCTTCCTCTTCTCTCGTGCTCTTGGGGCCATCTCTTATCTTGTTCCAGGAGAGTCCAGGGGTCTGTTTTGTCTGCCCATGTGCCCTGGCCTGTGTCCAGGGGAACATGAGTCGAGGAAGGCAGCCGTGGTGAAGGCCAACGGGTGGGGGGGAGCCCTCAGTGGAATCAATAACAGTTCCGAGCACACCACAGGGGCGTTAGAAGTGCCGACTGGCCTGGCTAGTGGGCTCACTTCTCCTGGCAGAGGCTCCCAGAGGAGGTGCGACTAGAAATGCCTGGACCAAGGGAAACTGCAGCGGGGCCCGATTCTAAGGCGGCAGGATTGAGAGCTGACCTCATCGCAGTCACCTCCCCCGTCACCACACTTCCCCTGCCTCTCAGGCATCCCGCTGGCATGGCACCTTGCAGATGATCCATGTTCCTAAATCACTTTGAGATGGGGAGGGTAGCCCTGCTACTCAGCTCATCTCCCCACCAGGAGCCAGGACTGCTCTTCACTGGCTTATTGATTAAGCGCATCACCCTAGCAGTCCCAGGACACTGCAGGACTCCGAGGCGCTAGGTGCTGTACAAACCCAAGACAAGTCTATGCTTCTTTTGCTAGTGCCAATGCCACGGGACCTCTGCTGAACTGGCAGCAAGGCTGCCCCCGCTCAGCTCTGAGGAGTGGGAACTTTTAAGGCATGCTTTATAAAGGGGGCCTGAAAGCACAGTTGCCAACTTTCACGCGGTAAATAAGCACCCAGACTTTCACAATGAGCCAAAAATCAAGCTAATCCCATTTCAAAACAAGGCCAAAACAAGCCAATCCCTAAGATCCCCAACACTCTAGGTGACTAGATCCCCCCAGTGTGCAGTCTGGGACTGTGGTGGGCCTGCTGTGCACCCCTGACTCTCCCCACCTTGCCCCTGCTTGCCAGGAGCTGAATTTAAAAAAAAAAAAAAAAAAAGCAACAAGCAAATAAGACCAAACAA